AAAAAAAACGCATAAAATTTGCAAAATCTCATCGGTTCTTTATTTGAAACGTTAGATTGGTCCATGACATTTACTTTTTGAAGATAATTTCATTTAAATGTTGACCGCGGCTGCGTCTTAGGTGGTCCATTCGGAAAGTCCAATTTTGGGCAACTTTTTCGAGCATTTCGGCCGGAATAGCCCGAATTTCTTCGGAAATGTTGTCTTCCAAAGCTGGAATAGTTGCTGGCTTATTTCTGTAGACTTTAGACTTGACGTAGCCCCACAAAAAATAGTCTAAAGGCGTCAAATCGCATGATCTTGGTGGCCAACTTACCGGTCCATTTCTTGAGATGAATTGTTCTCCGAAGTTTTCCCTCAAAATGGCCATAGAATCGCGAGCTGTGTGGCATGTAGCGCCATCTTGTTGAAACCACATGTCAACCAAGTTCAGTTCTTCCATTTTTGGCAACAAAAAGTTTGTTAGCATCGAACGATAGCGATCGCCATTCACCGTAACGTTGCGTCCAACAGCATCTTTGAAAAAATACGGTCCAATGATTCCACCAGCGTACAAACCACACCAAACAGTGCATTTTTCGGGATGCATGGGCAGTTCTTGAACGGCTTCTGGTTGCTCTTCACTCCAAATGCGGCAATTTTGCTTATTTACGAAGCCATTCAACCAGAAATGAGCCTCATCGCTGAACAAAATTTGTCGATAAAAAAGCGGATTTTCTGCCAACTTTTCTAGGTAATAAAATTCAATGATTTGCAAGCGTTGCTCGTTAGTAAGTCTATTCATGATGAAATGTCAAAGCATACTGAGCATCTTTCTTTTTGACACCATGTCTGAAATCCCACGTGATCTGTCAAATACTAATGCATGAAAATCCTAACCTCAAAAAAATCACCCGTTAAATAGCATATTTTTTATATTGAAAATGTATATCACGCCGATGTAAAGAATACACAAAATATTTTGGTGTATTTTTGACTTTTGTGCTACTTGAGGAGTACGTTAACTCGCTCGTTCACGCCTGTCATAATACCGAATTACGATATGAGAAGTTCGTTCACGTCTGTCACAATCCGATTTTGTCATTTTTACTTGACGATTTTCTCGTTCACGACTGTTACGATTCGAGCCCTGGTTGAACGATTCGTAAGAGGATGAGAGCTTAGAAAACTGGCCAGGATCTGAATATATATTTTGACACAATATATATACAGCTCTATGATTTTCTTCTCAGAGATCGTGCCAACAGCGTATTGGGGATTTTCTTTCATAAGTAAAACCAGGCTTTCGAGCTTGTGTTTAGTATTCACGACGTTAGAATTGCATGGAAATAATAAAAATTTTTTGAAATCAGTATCTACCCGCCAAAAGTTAGAAAACAAATGGAAAATTTTTCACAATTTTCTAACACTTCGCTACACCAACGAAAGCAAAGTTCTGTTCGTCAGAAAATTCGATACTCAACGAAAATTTCGACACGCTTGCATAGCTCATAATACGAATTTCACTTTCGATCTTCGCTGGCTATCGAATGCAACTCATAATAAGGGCCAAACACATAACATTGATCAGCTGTTTTTCTTGTTGGCAAATTGCTGCTGGCAAACATTTTTCTAGCAGGAATTGG